CTGGACAGCAGCCCTAGGCATACCGCAAACCAACTGAGTAAACAAGACCGTTTTCAGTCAGCCGATCCACTTACATCTACTAGCTTCTACGGTGCGTCGACACACGACTGTAGGATAGAGTGAAAAAATCGTTCAGCTCTCACACCCTTTCGGCGCCTAACTGCCATGCCACCCGAAGGTTGCACGAGGGTTGGGATACTGCCAGGTTGCCCGAGCCTAGACAGGGGAAGTCGAGATGCAGAGGTCGGGTTCGAACCTCGGCCCTCCCGGTCAGTAGATTCGTGCTCTAACCACTTGGGCCATCTCATTCCTGGATATAATGAACTCAGATAACCAGATTGATCAACCAATAGGTTGCGGAGGCAAAACTATCCATGTTGCACTATTGTAGCCTCCGTGACGATTCAAGTCTTTTTTCATGAATCGACTAGTTCGTTGAGTTACGGTAGCGCTGCAAAATCGATTATGATTTGTCAGATGATCGATCACACTGAAATATCATCTTTCTCGCCTATGTCTTCCGGGGTCAGACAACATGTTCTCACAGACAATGAATCCACATGCTCGACTGATCAATGAACACAAAGTCACGAGGATTAGGTCACTAACTTGAGTCAGCATTGTGTGATATTTGGCGGTCTAACAAGGGCTGTTGATTTGAACCGTTGGTGCTACTCCATTGGTGTCGTTAGCAGTTTAGTCAACCGATATTGGCCAGTTACACGCTGACCCATGGTGGCATATCCTATTGGGAAGTAAATAAGCCTTTTCCAATACTAGAAAGTATCTTCGAGCCGGTTGAATTCGAGGGGATTCTGGCACAAGAATTGTCACCTCGACGTCATTGTTCCTTCTTCAGAGGTTCCTCCAGAAGGGGATATGTTGTGCGGGTGGGGCATAAAAATCCGCTGTTTGTGGATTTTTATGGATTGACCAAACGGGGTGTAGTCGAAGGCAACCTCATAACTGATGTGTACGGTAGCAGGTCGAACCATGGTGTTTTTTTCAACTTTGTGCACTCGCTGCTTAAGCCCAGCTGTTCGGACTGTATTCTTCGCGCATTTGGACAGCCTGTCTGCCAAAACTCTCTGACCAACCTGATTGAGGCCATATTTCATTAGGCAGTCGTGGCTTTCGTCGGCTCCTGTGTGTACTCTACTAATGATGTCAGGTCCCATCCTACTCATTTTGTGTTTCTTTCATTTTCAGTGGCTGGACGGTCCACTAGTCGATCTGCCTCCCATTCTCCCTTCGACTTCAGGATCTGTTCTGTTGTAGATATATACTGCTTGTGTTGACTGTACTACTAATTCGTCCAGCCAAATTTGTCCGTTCTTTGCTCTGTATGAGAGAACTAATCGTGTACATTGGATCTACTTCGCCCTTGCCCCCTCTTGCCTCCACCATTTCACCCCACCTCTTTCGGACCATGAGTTCCACCCGGGCTAATACTGTATTCCGCCCCACACGCCTTGACTGTCCAAACGCTTTTATTTTTCATTCTCTTTGTGTTTCATTTATTGCAACAGGCCTTTTGAAGGGCTGTCACTAATCATGATTTGTTTCCTACTCATATATACTGCTATTAGTACGACTGCTACTTTTGTCTAGAAAGTGTAGGACCGAATACGCAGTCGTTTCTTTAGCTTGATTTCCTGACGTACAGTCGCCATGCAACCGTTGAGAACAATGACATATTCGATGATCCCATATTGTATCGGGTCTAGATCAGGGGGTGGATCCATATGCAAGCTTTAGTGGGTACAAGGTAATACCTACCAGGGGGTTAGCTGTTATCTGGTTTATCCTTGAACTGTCCTTTCTTCGGCTGATCGCGTGGTTGTGGCCTCTCTGTGACGGTGTACTACGTCGATCTCTGCAGAAATTACATTTCCACGGCTTTTTTCATGGTGATCCAGTTTAGATTTTCATCACCTCTATTAGATTGAAAGCAGTGTGATTGTTACATGATGTTTTCTACATACTACTACTTTTCGCCAGTAGTAAACTTCCATTTCAAGACTAGTTTTTTATACCATATCGTTCTTCATACTATCAGAAGTCACCCAGGTACCTGTAAACCTCACTCCGGTGGAGGGGTAATCGCCTTGAGCAGTGTCTCTAATCACAAGTATTTTTCGAGACGCAACTAAGCTGTATCTTTCAAGCCAAACTTGTTGAGCGATAAGGTTCATCTCCTGAGTTAATGCGTGTGGCTTTAGCTAGGGACGGAGTACAGGATGTTCAGGAGCAGTCTTCCAGTTTTCCCGCTATTTTCCTAGTCACTTTAATTGGATAGATGCTAGTAAGACCCTCAAAGTATTTGCTGTGGTTGGATTTCGCACATTTCAGTGCTGGATCCCCGTGGCGCTCGCCACCGGCTGCTCGAGGAACCGAGAGTGCCTGCGAGAGGAAGTATGTTCGTCTGCTTGTAGCCTGCTGCCTAGATCATCATCATCATCATAAATGGTAGCATAACATCAGTGTTCAATATCGATGCTTCGCTGGCGTACAACCATAATTTAGTTGAAAGCCTAATTGTGAAGAAAAGAATAAAGGTGGATGGGGAAGGGACTTGCTATTAGCTTACTACCATCATTCCCAGGTGCCTACATCTCCAAACACTCACTCAGGCAATTTGGATAGAAACTGACAACAAGATCGCCACTGACATCGATGGGCACCCATACCGTGCAGCGTCTCCAACCAAGCGCAGTGAGGATCACGCGGTCCCCATCCTGGAAGTGGCACCGATAGCTCACAAACGTTTCGCGATTTCTTTCATACCCCTCTGCCAGGTCAAGGGTTGGCCACCTCTCTGCTTCCGCTGCTCTGAATTGAGCATGGGAAAAAGCACTCTCTTCGGCAAACGATGGTTAAGCATACGCAACACATGTACCAACCAACGCAATTTCTGGTGCTGGGCATTCTTCAATGGACGTATCCGTTGCACAACCGAAAGCTCGCTTCCTAATTGCCTCATCACGGATTCGCCGGCACCAACCCACACGAGCTATGGTTCTGAGACAGCGATTGTCAAACACCTGAAGATGTCTCAGTTCCGCTGCTCGAACAGGTCAAGTCTCACAGCCATACAACAAAACAGCCAGTACTGTAGCTTGATTCACACGTCCCTTCAGATTCAAGGGTAAACCATTCTGACGCCATAGGTGTCTCAAATTGGCAAACGCGACCCGAGCTTTGCAGATTCGTGCGTTGACCTCATCTGTCACACTACTATCAGAACTAATGCAACTTCCAAGATACGTAAACTGCTTCACAACTTCCAGTGCCTCTCCCTGGATTGTAAGTGGCATGTTTAATGACTGCATGTCCAGGAGCGTCGCCTTGCACTTTGTGGGTGCAAAGTACATACCAAAGGGAGGGATGACTTTGGTCAGTTCAGGTCCCTGTTTACAGACCTAAATAATCCGACTACATGGATCCAGGGCAACTTGGTTGCGAATTTGATCTTATTGGCTATCGTGCCTTGTCTCCTACTGGTAGTAACCTACTGTTACTACTTCTAAGTTTGCAATCAGACGCTCTCCCATGGTTTGTTAGAGTATAGTGGACCGGAATGTTGCGAAGACAGGACGTTACCTGTTGATGTGGTTGTACTGTCAAGGGAACAGAAAACATCCTGACAAGCTGTCACTGAAAGTACTACGTTAATTAATGTGTTCGCAGCGCACCAGTATTTTCAGACGACTAAATTTGATAACTGCTCGCACGTGGACACTTCCCCACCATGATCATGTTTTATCCAATCAAAGGGGCATGCATGGGTCATCTTAACATTACGGTGCTCACAGAGAAGCTGGTTGACAATAGCCAAAGACCTGATAATTGCAGGAGCTCTGTTCCAAGCCGTTGGTCAGCATGATTTTATCCGGACAGATTTAGCACCTAGTTTACCACGATATCCTGTTCGAGAGGATGACTACTACCCAACAAGGAAGTTTGGCTGTGGTGAACAACTTCAGCGAGACATCCTCTCCAGACGAATTTCTCTTGTCCGGAGTTAGTCTATTGAACGAGATGTTTGTACCGATATACCTCTTCGTTTTATGGCAGATGCTCTGCAGCTCGCCTGATTGTGGAATTGATTGATTTCAGCGCGGTTCGTGGACTGACCTATTCATTCTTTGCTGGCTCTCTAGATAGTTTCTTTTTAATTTGCAAGATGAAATCGTGTAAGAAGTCCGAGCAAACGATGCGTAGGATTAATTGTGCTCAAGTTCTTTCAGTGGCCCCCTGCCAGTTCACGTGCCGGTATCTTAGATTTTCCCCCTATATGATACTACTCATAAGGTCGATGGAAGTTCTTGAATAGCTGAATACCGTTTCCACCCTCTTCGAACCTCATCAGACAAATTTAGTTCTGAATTTTCAACAATTTTATTTCGTATCTGAACATCAATTTGAATATATGTGCGGACAAATACTTATTTGCAAATTAAGTTGGGACCAACAGGAAACACCGAAAATCCAATCAGATATCTCGTTTTCTGATGTTGTTCAAATGAATCTGCTGCGGAAAGGCTGCTTCACGTTTCACCTTAAATGATATTGAAGGCATCAGAGTAGTTTTCATGATAAGACGTTACCAATGAATTCGATGAAGAGTGTACACTCCTCTACCGTTTCGAGTACGAGACAAAGTTGAGGCCAGGCCTATCTGATTACTCTAGAAAGGGCAAAGCCGGCAGTGAGCTGTCCAGAGTTCCAATCGAGATTGTGAGTAATGTTCGTAGAAGGATGAAAACAGTAGTGGGCTGAAAAAGTTCTCAGTATCCTTGTGAGTAAAGTGTTATTTCAAGCAGCATTTTAGTCTCTTGGTCCCAGACGTTGTATCCAGGGTAGGCTGTTTTTTGGAGTTGCTGCGGAAGACAGATAAACTGAATGTGAACCACACACAGACACACACACCGTCTTCGCGGAGACACGTAGACTTAACCCTTTCCTCATAGTAACCGGTTCGAGACGGGCAGAAAGCAGTGTTAAGTGGACTTGAACGGTGGTCCGGTCCATTTACCTGTTCGCATGTGTTATTAATGAGACTACTTTCAATCATTCTGGAAAGGGAAAATAAGTTTGAAAAAGTCTACTGAGCTGAGCTCATCCGAGATGCACAGACCTTGTGACTTTGGGGCTGCGCGGTTGTACACCTGCTAGGCAAAAGTTGCTTAGGATAAGCAGACGAAACATCGAGTGAAATAGATGCAGTGAAATTTTGCAAATGGATGCAAGAAACCCTAACTTGGGTGGCGCATTGAGAAAGCGCAGAATAATATGGGCAGGAAATACTGGTCGAAGCACCACTTGATGGTGGTATAATTCAGAACTGATAACTCAAAGGTGCGAACCGTTTTGCTTTCAAGGTCGCAGAAGACCTTCGGTGTGATAATCGAGTAGAGTAAACAACGGGAAATAAAATCAGGTCTCCTTGAGAAATGCAACCCAATTTAAGTGCTTCCTAGTGGTAGACGGTATATGTGAAGTTTTTTTGGCGAATAATCTACCCCCTTAGGTTACTTAAAGTAATGTGTGATGTACAGTCTGCCTCGTACATAAACTATCAACCGTTGGGATGCATACGAAGTTCAGGTGGCCGAGTGCTCCAGTAAGCCTTCACACTGGAGTTACATTTCAAACATGTCGGACCGTATAAAATATCGTTTCTGACGCTGGATATGTCAAACGGATGCGCTACGTTTCTTTATCGAGTATTCCAGTTAGTGTCTCTGCGCTTTCTGGACTTTTGCATCGATGCTCCTCGGTAAGATCGGGGGTTTTATGTGCATCGATTAACCATGCGGGAAAGGATGCAAAGCGAGCTTGGCTGGGTACGGTACTAAATTGAACCCACGAGTTTTGGACTATCCCATCTTGACAGAGATATGGAAGCTATGGATTTAGGAAAGACAAAAGTCAAGATGGTATACAACAGATCAAGCATTTGAGACGTATGGACTCAGCTCAATCAAAGCTTCTTTATACTTCAAACTAGTTTGGTCCAGGAACCAGTGGTACTCATGCTGAACAACACGGCTAACTGTATTTTCTTTCACACCGTTTTAGTCTGGCTTGTTGCTGATATCTCAGCTAGGAAAAACGGGCAAAGTCAAGCGACACAACCAGAAGACACATGGCCACGGGAATCAGAGCAGTCGATTCGTGCATAGGTCCTAGTTCCAACTTGGAGGTACACCTTGTTGGCGTTGAACTTTGGGGTTTGGGTAAAGTACATGACCAAACAGTGTTGTGCTAC